CCCTAAATCGATTTTTAAAAACATTCCCTTGCCAGTTCGATCGATCGAATTGAATCCTCAGATCGATCGAACTGACATCGATCTCTCTTTTAAAGTGACAAAATATTTATGGGATTTTTGAAAAATAAAAAGTAAAAATAAATAAAATAAAAGTAAAAATATTTTTAGGATTTTATTTATTTATTTTTTTAGGATCAAAGATAGAAGTATGGTACAATGTGTTGATCTATTAAGCTTTCAGCGATCCATGAGGTCGAGCGTTAGGTCAATGACTCCCAAACCAGACGGCTTTAGGGCATTAGGCGTTAAAACACCCCTACAGACTTACAAGCTCAAATCAACTAGGCTACAAATCAAGACAACCTCCATCTAATCATTTCTCACTTCTCACCTTTTTGGGAGAAGTCCTCACTTTTTATTGCTTTTGCAACTTTTTTTTTTTTTTTTTCAATTATTAATCTAGAGTTTGGGCCCTCCACCTTCCGGCGCGAGAAGTTCAGTGCTTGATGAAGTTAAAATCCCGGCTACTTAGTGAAAAGGGGTTGTTATCCACCTTTATCAAGAATGAAAGTTTTCAATGCACTACTAGCCCAATTGGGATATAACCAATTCAATAGTCAACAAAACATGTACCCCACAAATGAATGCTAGTGTGCGCCTGTGTTAGTGTAGAATAGTAGAATGAATCTCAAAACAATCACAAAATCAGGATGATGTGGACCACAAGTGCAAGCATGATATTAATCTTTCGAAAAATTTACTCCTAAATGACATCCATAAGGCATACAAGGAGTATTGGACTCTCAAGTCAAACAATTTTTAAATTTTAAGCAATATAGTCCTCAAAAGATCAAAATCGTAGCTAGTTATGGACCAATCATAGAAAATCCCTCAAATACACAAGTCATACTCAAAATTTTGAATTTAAAAATAAACACTGCAAAGCACCAGTTATGCCAACAAAGTGACAAATGGAGAAAAGACAAAATAGGAAAAATGACGAAAAATGAATAGTGTTGAAAAAATAAAAATGTGGAAATGACGCGGTCCTTAAAGGAAGTTATCAATTCAAAGAAAAGAGTCGCGAAAATCATTCCAGAGCACTCAAGACAACACTAAGTGACGAGAAACCGAACTCAGAAAGGGAAAGATCAACGGGAAAAAAATATATGTGAAAACCTGAGAAAAAGGAAATGAAGAAAAATGACAGGGTCATTACAGTACCAATATTAAATGAAATTTTAAAAATGATGAAATTGCAAAAGTAGTATAAAACATTTATACAATTGCGTATTATTTGTTTACTCACCAAGAAAATAGATCTCCTATTATTTAGTTCAATATTAATATATGATTCTAACAAAGTGTATAAAATTATGTAGTTGAATTAATTCATCCTCACATTTAACAAAAAAAAACCTAGATATGCAAGATTTATGATACTAGTAATGACTATAAGATGCCAAACTATCAACCTTTTTACTAATTAAAAAAATGGATATGTTAGATTAATTACCATTATGTTATTATAATTGCACACTATTTTGAAAACTTGTTTTTCCTTTTAATAAAATGATTAAAGGTAATATAAATTTCTTTAAAATGCTTTATGCGAGTGAAGTATTTTTCCCACTGTATAATACTCCGTAATACATAAAACGTTTCACATTCATATCATATGATTTAATTAAAAAATTGAAATATTAATTGTTAAATTTGAAAACTATACGGAGCAACGAAAGTTTTTTTTTAAAAATTTTACAGCTATACATGTATTATATGCTATAATACATGTTTTTGCTAAGTATAAAGAAGTAATATTATTACAAGAAATGACCGGTAATCTGCTCTCTATTTTTAACCATTGAACTAACATAGTAGTTTTTTTTTTTTGTTTTTTTTTTGTTTTTTTTTTTTTTTTTTTTTTATATTGTTAAAAATTAAATCAATCATTTCTTGAACGAGATTTCACTAAATATATCCACCCCTATTTAGGGAAAAAAAATATATCCATGCCTAAAAAAAAAAAAACTTTTTCTTATTCATTTAGGGCATGTTTGGTATATAATGTGTGTTATATTATAAGTTTACACATATTCATAATGTATTTTTTTCTAAGTATTTTACAAAAAAAAAAAAAAAAATCACGTGTAAACAAATTTTCAAACTATATAAAACAATGTACTCTTATATATAAATAAGGGGTAATTACACTTACCTCCCCTGGGGTTAGGCCTAATTACAGACGGTACCCCTAACGTTTAAAAATTTACATTGACCTCCCTCTAAACTGATCGGCATTTTATTCCGGCCATTGACCATGTTAAATGACTAAAACACCCTCTAATATTTTATTAATATGACATGACATTGTTAAATTACTATATTGTCCACAAATAAAGTTATACTTGTGTAACATATAAACACCTACATGTACAAACCCCCGCCGCCCGCTGTCCCCCACCCACTAAGGAAACCATTTTCTTCGGTGATCAATTTTATTCAATGTAGCCATTTCCTCTGACGATCCATTACATTAATCATTACCACTCAACTTTCCTTCTATATCACACACACCATGAATACATACACAGACAACTACCACATAACCACCGCCATCATAATCATCACCACTAGCGGACTCTTCTACAATGACAACCAACATGACACTATCATCTACAGGTGAAGCCAATGGTAACGACCTAAAATATGGAGACCGAGGAAGAAGAAAACTTGGTGGATCCAAGAAAGTGTTTCAACTGGTCAAACTTATGTATAGATATATAGATGTATGGGCAGGGCAGAACAGAGCTACCATCTCCGGCATAAATTCACCGATCTGAACATGAACATCTGCCGCCTCAAATTCGCCGACATGGACGTGATTGCCATAATATTCACCGGCGAAGTTGCACTTGGCAAAACTCCAGATTGGATGCAAATCCGAATTCAGAAACCGTAGTGAGCTCGGTCGGTTCTCGCTGGTGAAGCGGTTCGAGTCGTCGATCAATTGAGAGCTGCGAGACTTGTGAAATGACGACGATTTGACAATGCTGAAGTTATCATTCTTTTGGTACTCATTGAGTTCATCTCGGTCATCATTGTAGGGTTGATGCTTTCGCAGAAGACGATGTTATCGATTGGGTTGATTGAAGTTCAGATTGATGAAGAACTCGAATAGGTTTTGATATATGGGGGTTTTTGGATTAAGGTGTAGCTGCGGACGGCAAAGCCGAGGAGGAGAGCTGCTCTGTCGACGGAGAGGTTTCCATAGATGCCGGCGGCAAGGGGCTCCATCGATTTCCGCAGCGATTGTTGTGGCGGCAACGATTTGCAACTATGTATATATATCTAGATCTAGAATGAGCCAATGTGTGTGTCTATATATATATATAGACCAGTAGATATATATTATGGGGAAGGCGGCGAGGCATGCCGGATGGCGGAAAGGAATACTAAGTAGCCATGAGGGAGCTGACGAAGGGTAGAAGGCACGGTGGGCGCAGAGGATGAAGCCGCCGTTGTTGGGGCGGTAGCGATCTTGGTAGTGATGAGGACACACACACACACACACACACACACACACACATATTACATAGTATTTGTCCCATTTTTTTTTTTTTTTTTCTAGGTATATAAGTTATTTTAATATAAAAGTAAGGGTTAAAATGTCTTTGCAAATATAGTAAGGGCAAATGTGGTATTACAGGGTTAAAAAGTGCTGATGTCATCAAAAATCATCATTGACTGGCGTTGACTTTCACCGGAGGGGGCTAAATGTTACGATGGAGCAAACCTTGAGGGAGGGCGGTGTAATTTTTTAAACGTTAGTGTTACCGCCTGTAATTAGGCCTAACCCCAGGGGAGGTAAGTGTAATGACCCCTATAAATAATAATGTATTAATATATTTTAAATTTTCAAAACTAAATTAAAAACAATTTTTACTAAACATATTTCATATTTTTGTTTCAGCAATTCGGTCAAACATGTTTTGTTTCTTAAATTTCGTGAAACAAAAAACCTTACCAAATATATTATAAATATTTCTGCTTATGAAATTCCTACTGTAAATTTTAATAGTCAAATATGTTTCATTTCCAACTCAAAACACTCCGTAACAAAACATTAGGAGACTCTTAATTAGAACCCCTAACATGGCATGTGGTTTAAGCTAATGAAATGCGGTGAGATGTTCCCATTTAACCCGTAGTGGGGTCCAGTTTCATAAATGTCGTGCACATTCCACGCGCCATGAATGCGCGTTATGTAGAACACACCCTTGTAACCGCAATTGCACACTAGGCGCTACTCGCTAGCCCCCATTGATTCAAAAATGGCGCAAAGTATCTGAAACCCCCAAAACCCCCGAAAAAATCCAAATGTTTAACCAAAAAACCCAACAACTCTCCAACACGCAACAACGCAATCTTCGAACCCAACAAATCAAAAATAGTCCATAACCGAAGTCTTGGATTGCATAGACACACATCAAGACATTTATCAGCCCACTTCAACGGTTAGATTTCAATTTCCCTCATTTCTGTATATTTATGTACGAATTTATGTGTGTGTATATATATATATTTGTGTAATATGCGTATCTATAGCTTTAATGGGTTTTCTATATATATCTTTGTGATGACCAATTGTGGCATATTTTGCATCTTAAATTTGCATATCTGTAATCCCGCGTGGATTTCGCTGAATTTATTGGTTCAGTCTTTGGTTTTGTTTTTTGCTCTGTCAAAAGTCCCAGTGTCTTTATCTTGTTCAAGACTTGGCCTTTCTCTGTACTTGCACGGACATTCATGCAGGTTTAGCAGGTGTTTTGGCCAGAATTGTCTGTTTTCCTGGAATTCAAAGAATTCAAGATAAGGGTTTAGAAACTAAGGTTTCTTTTTTATTTTTAATTTTTAATTTTTTAAATTTTTATTTGTGGCTTTTGCTGTTCTTGTGGAGGTATTAGTATTCTTCTTGTTATAGATGTTGTTGTTTTGATATGGGTTGTGGGATATCAAGGATGGATGATTCAGAATTGGTGAGTTTGTGTAGAGAAAGGAAGAAGTTGATTAAGGCTGCCGTGGATTGCCGGTATGCCTTGGCTTCGGCTCACATTTCTTACTTTCAATCCCTTTTAGATGTAGGCAATGCGCTAAATCATTTTGTGGAGGAAGAACTGTTAATTAGTGTTGACAGTGTTGACACCCTTTCGACTGCTGACTCTGATCATCAGTCCTTGGGGGAGGGTTCTCACTTGGAACTGTTGTCCTCCAATTCTGACGACACTGATGTCATTTCTTTGACTGATGATGTACATGAAGGCTCGAGAGTGTATGGAAACTCTGCACCACAAAATGAAAGCAGCAGAGGAGTGAATTCAAATGTATACTCCATGAAGAGATCTTCTGAGGAGGTGCCTACTAGGTTTTTTGAGCAGCCACAAGCTGTGCCTACGACACTTCAGTGGCAGGATTCATCAAAACTTTTAGGTCAGTATTCTGAATATGGAAACAGGGCATTTTTTTGTGACCCTATGAATATTCCCGCTAATAACCTTAGGTTTTCTCAGTATGAGAACAGGGCAGCCCTTGATGGTCCCATTAGTTTGCCACCTAATAATGTTAGGTTCTCTCGGTATGAAAATGGAGCATCATATGATGGTGTGATGAATTTGCCACCTGACATCACTCAGTATAGAAATGAGGTGTCTATTGGTGGTCCAATGAATTTGCCACCTGATAATCTTGGGTTTTATCGTTATGGATATGGGGCAGACTTGCCAAATATTAATCATAGGTTCCCGCTGAATAAAAATGGGCTATCTGGTGTTTCAATGTATTCATCGTATGATGGTCCTTATTACAATCAGACATACATTCCTCCTACAGCTCCTTGGGTTCCTCCACCTCCTGAGGCTTCTAATTGGGACTACCTGAACCCATTTAGTGTGGTTGATGATACTTATACCAGATATTATTCTCAGGGTGGGCATGGAATTGGTTTCGGCAGCACTGATCCTGATTTAGGAGAAGTGAGGATGAGGGAGGGAATTCCTGATTTGGAAGATGACACCAAGCAGAACCTGATGGAAGAAAAACCTAATGACATAATTTCCAGAATAAATGAGCCCAATGACATAGGATTAAACACCAAAACACGGGGGGTTTCAGGTGAAGGCTCTTCTGAGGTAGCATCACCAAAGAATGATGGTCAGGTCCCATTAGCTCAGGGAAAAGAAACTAGGACGAACCAAGACAATCCTGTAGCTGACATAAATGTGATAAAGACGACATCTGATACCATCGAAGAAGATACTAGGAGAGAATCTGATACTGTCGTGCCAAAAGGTTTGGAAGAGGAGGAAAAGAAGAATAGTGGGACTTTCCAGGTACAAAAATCTATCGAGGAAGGTGAATTTTTAGAACAGGTCAACTCAACAACATTATCTTCTCATGGCTTAAGGGAACTTAAGGAAGTACTGAAGGAAATCAAGGATGCTTTTGAGGCTGCTTTTAATTATGGGAAAGAAGTCTCGGTAATACTTGAAGCAGGAAAGCTGCCCTATCAGCCTAGGGGTACTATATTTAAGGGTAGGAATTCTGTTAACATTATCTTCATCTTCCAGCATAAGCGTAGTTGTTGTTACAGGTCCTTATTTTTGTTTAATGTATAGCAACATTATTTCCAAATCGAACTTGACTTGAAAACAATATTATTGTCCAGTGTTTTGGCTGCTGTTGATAAGTTTAAACTTTAAACTACACAATACAAACTTGATCCTTATAATAGTGGATCACATTTTTTTACCATTTTGTTTTATTATTTTCTTGGCTTGAGGACCAACAAACAAGGTGGATAGATTGTAAATTCTTGTCTAATGTGATGACTTCATTTAAAACTATGCTTGACTGCACCTGTGCTTAATCTGTTTCTAGTTAAAGACAATTTATCAAGAATATAAATGGCTTTTGCTGTGGCACATGTTTGGAGTTGCATTTATTTTTCTTTCCTTCTAAATATCTGGTCCAATATTTAGCAATTTGATAGAACTGATTTCCCTAAAAGAGGAAATGGTAAAGAAGAATCAGATAAGAATAGAAAAATAAATGAAAGAAGTGCTTAAATTTTCAGTAGATAAGCTTCCTTGTACATGTTCTGCTTCCTCTCTTGATGTGTCTGTAGGATCTCTCACGTTATCATTCTTTTCTTGGAAAACTTTTGGAAGTTTAGAAGGTTGTTCATGTTTTCCTCACATCCTTTTCTTTCCACCTGCTTTTCCCTGGATTCTAGAACAAGTATGATATGGGCCTTAGTTTGTATCGCATTACAAAGTCCGTGCATGGCTAACACCTTTTAAACGTGCCTCAGGGCATGACAGAGGGAATTTCCTTGTGGACTATATGATGCATGGGAATAGCTAAGGCTTAATGTTCATACTTCAAGGTTCTATGGGGTGCGATTCTTGAATTAGACCAGCCTTATTTTGAATGATGCTCCACATAAGCTTATCAAAGGTGGGATATGCTGTCAAAATTTATTTGAAAAATTGCATTGAATTTATTTATTATTATTATTTTTTTAGTACTTGTTAAAAAATAAATAATGCTGGCTTTTTTAGAGCATTAGTCTTAAGAGAGTAGTTTGCTGAGGTGTTTAAGTAAGATACGTTTTATGCAATGATTTTTTGCATGAGTTCCTTGCAACAATTTTTGGAACTAAATCTACAATATGAATGAGCACTACAATATGTTTGTTGTTGTCTATGTTTGTGTATACATACTTGGCACAAACATAAATAGACATACAAATAAACATTTAATGCCAAACGGCTTACAAGAACTTTGTTGCCATACTTTGTCCTGGATATGCATTTAAGGATATTTAATCATTATTTGTGTCCAGTTTTGGGTGTGATCATACCAACATTAATGCACCGGAACCCATCAAAATTCCATCGTTTAAGCTTACTTGGGTGAGAGTAGTAGTAGGATGGGTGACCCCCCAGGAAGTCCCCGTGTTGCACCCCTTTTGTAGTTGTCTAGTTTTGGAAACCCAAATGTTGAGATGAATTTGCTATAAGATTAGAATAGATAGAATTAGAAATGATCACATTCATGAGATGGTTGGAGTAGCACCAATTGGAGATAAAATGAGACAAAATTGGTTGAGATGGTTTGGGTATGTGCAAGGAACACCTTAAGTGGGTAAGTTAGGAAGAGTGACGTAAGTCTACATTGAGGTTAGGGGAAGAGGAATACCAAAGTTAGTGTGGGTAGAGTTAGTAAGGAAGAATTTGGTAACGTGTTGTGAGTGATGCCATGGCCTTAGATAGAGCGGAATGGAAATATAGGATTAATGTAGCTGAGTCCTAAGTAGTTGGGAAAAAGGCTTTGATGGTTGTTGTTATAATCATTATTCATGAAAATTTGGATAATTTGATAGTTTTTTCCCATTGAATGGGTTTATTTTATTAAAGATAAAAACTAGACAAGTACAAGAAAAGGTGAAGGCATCCCCTTCACAGTCAACCAAAGAAAATGAATATGACCATTTCCAATACAAATATAGTTTCTCACTAAAAGTTTGTGTAAGGTAATGAGCAAGAAGCTGAATCCTTACATCTCAATCCCGATGGCCTGTAGCTTTCTATTCAAATGTACTGATGCCTTGTCATTCATCCTGTCTTACGAAAGATTGCTCTTTGTGGACCAGTGTTCTTGAACTATATGATTGATTTGACAGAGTAGCCTAGATATAACGTAATTGGTGTATGATATTTTTTGTTTTCTTAATTGATGTATCATATTACTAGATAGCAGATAGCACTAGGTCATTTAAAAATATTTCAAGCAATTTGTCACACTTTTCAAATATTTTTTTTCCTTTTTTCTCACATAATCCAACCGACCCATGAATGATTTCTAGTTTGACCTTTATTTGTGTTTGTAAACACTGTCACTGTGAACTTGAGATAGATTATGGCAAAAGTATACTCTGATGTGAGGTAGACTAGAAGTGCATCACATAGTGCATATCCCTACTCTGATGTGAGGTAGACTAGAAGTGCATCACACAGTGCATATCCCACCTACTTGGCGTGCTTGGAGATTGAAGATAGACCTAATCTTTGGCATTATTTTGCACAAAGTGGCTACTTTCAGACTCAAGACGCAACCTCATGCTTATTAGCTTGAGTTTTTACATTTGCAGCTAGCAACGAGCACTTATGATCCCATGTAAGGAGTGAAGGGGAAATAGTTATATGATTTATATCCTGGAATTGTGAAAATATAAAATATATACGAGTGTCTCTTGGGGTTTGCTAACAAGATCATTTAGTGAAAATAACAACACTTGCCTTTGGGGCTATGATATCCTATGCTGTTAGATGTCTTACTAAAAGAAACTAATGTCCATGTCCTTTTATTAATCGACTTCTTTATAATTTGTTCTCCTTTTAAATGCCATCTGATTGCTTTGCTTCCTGCAGCGTTCTCTTCTTGGATCCCGAGGTTAGTGGCCCCTAATATGGTGACATCTTCACACCCTAAGCATACAATATTGAAGCGATCAGCCTATAGAACAGTGAAGGTTGCAAAGGTTTACAATGCGAATCTTGAGAAGGACATCTGCATAAAGTCTAGCAACCTTTCATCAACTTTGGAGAAGATGTATGCGTGGGAAAAGAAACTCTATGAGGAAGTCAAGGTAATCACTCATCTACTATAGATGCTGGACTGTTAGGGTTATTGTTTGCTCCTAAAAGATTGTAATTATGACTTTGATTTGACATGCTGATCATTGGTCACAAATTGATAGTACAATCCAGCTGAGCATTTATTAGTTGGAACTTGGAACTGCACATGTAGTTTTACACTTTTACTTAAAGACTGGGCATTCGTAAATGCTTTATACGAATGCAAATTTGCTATGGTAATGACAGATCATTAAATGATATATATATATATATATATATATATATATATATATATATATATATATTGGGTAGTGAAAAATTTATAATATTGATTAAATGATAGAAAATTGTTCATCATCTATCTGTTAATATTAGGAAATTCGTGAGCTACAAATACATCCTATATTGAAAATTTACTGTTGTAGATTTAAGTTAGTTTTCTAATTTGCAGCAATTGACCATATTATTTTTATCATAACTTCTTGAAGAAATTTAATTCTTGATTTTGGGGAGTTGAAAAATTAGTTAATTTTACTCTTTATGCATTTTAATTGAAGTTTTTATTTTTTATTTTTTATGAATTATATGCATATGAATGTAGTTTTTCTGAAAGTTTTGTACATTTGTCCAGAGAGCGAAGTGCCTGTACAACTTTTATATAGATTTTAGAATATTTTTCAGTTTGTCAGGAATTGTTGCCGAGTAATTATTGAAGGAAACCCCTTAATTTACATGATCTGGATATTCCCCATTTAATAGAGCACTATATATATATATATATATATATATATATATATATAAGGGCCTAAGACATGTCAATTGTAAGTGATCCTAGGAAGTATAGTTGTTGCCCGCATTTGAGGTTCTTGTCATCATCCTTGCTTTTATCCTTTTCCTATAAAAATGTGATCAGCACTATTTTTCCAATTCTTTCCTATAACAACCATGTCTTCTTAGAGGGTTTGTTTATTAAAAATCTGTGGCGTCCAAATGATGGTCCAACTTTAGATTGCTTTAACATCTGCGGTGACCGCTGGTTTCGTTACTTTTTTACCTGACAATGTTGCCGAGTGATCCATTTAAAAGTTGTCCTAATAATCAGGATAGGCCTGTATATTTAGATTCTTCCTTGATGTCCTTTCTCATTGTATGCATCCAAATCCCTCTTGTTCTAAGTAGTTAATGTTAATATTCTTGATCTTGATGACCTTAGGGATATAAAAATAACATGGTTATTACCCTATCTGATCCCCATTAATTGAGGGTGGGGAGAGGTTCACTGGATACAAACCTTCCTTTTACATTTTTTGCACAAAGAGGCTTCCTTTCGGATTCGAATCCATGTTCTCACACTTGACAGCCTAAGCGTTCAACCAGTCCACAAGGCAATGGCCCATGCAGATGCTGAAATGGATTGGCAAAATTAAATTGTCTAGCCAGCCAGTGGAAAATGCATTGTTCTGCCTGAAGAGCATATTTTATTCAGAGTTGATGGTGTACCACTTGCATGGTTAATTGTGGTAATTAAGGAAATATGGTACTTAATAGAGAAGCAGGCAAATTTAATGCTAATCAAGGCATATGTACCTTTTAATTGTAAAATCATTGATAATTGATAAAGTGGGTGATGTATCAGCTTTTATATGGACAATAAATTGTCATGGATATACATTTAACCCTGTTAGAATATTTTGGGTCATTATATAATTGCATATTGTTGGTAGGGTTATTGTGTAATTAGCTGAGTCTTGTATATTTATATAAGCCACTATAAGCTTAGGGTTTTATACATATGAGATACACATGTAACCACCATGATCTCTCTCTCTCTCTCTCTCTCATCAGTTTGAACATGGTATCAGAGCAGTACGAAACAATGGGAAACTAAGATTGTGGTTGTGATTGCATCTGTGGTGTTCTTCTACAAATCGAAATCGAGATTGAAGTCGATTCTATTCTTCGCCGAAGGTTTGGCCGTCGTTCTGTTCAGAGCCGGAGGTTTGAAGCTGTCGTTGTGTTCAGCGCTTCTCGTCCGTCGTTCTTAGATTTGAAGCCGTTCGTTTTGTTGACCGAGGTTGCCTTGGTTGTCGCAAGTTGCAGAGGTTCCATCATCGCGAATCCTCTCTGCTCGGTTGTTAGATCGCTGCTTGTGTTGGGTTGCCGTCACCGCTACAAGGGCTAGGGTGTGTACTAGCCTTGATTCCCATTGCGAACCTCGTGTGTTGGAGTTTATTGTCGGCGGCAGAGTTCTGGTTCTTGCCGGCGCTGATTGTAAAGGAGAAGGGTGGTGTTTGGCTGTAGGCGTGAAGCTATCCCAACCTTGGTTTACAAAAACCGGAATAGCAGAGAACTGGTTTTGATTTGGCCCGTTTGCCCAGATCCAAACCCGTTTGACCAGATCCGGACCGTTTGACCAGATCTGCCCTGTTTGACCAAATCCGCCCCGTTTGCCTAGATCCGGATTCAGTTTTTTTTTTTTTTTTTTCCCCAGGTTTGGGTTTCTTCTCTCTTTCCTCTCTATGGCTGCCGGTTTAGACCTGCTTTCTTCTACTTCTTTCAATCCTCCCATGACTTCGGTCAAGCTCAATGGCAAGAACTATATTTTATGGGCCAAGTCAGTAGCTATTTTTCTAAAAGCCAAAGGCTTTGGCTCCTTATTTGGTTAAGGATAAGCCTAAAAACAGTGATGCAGGTTTCAGTTCATGGGAACAAAAGGGTACACTCAAACTTATGGTATTGACTACGATGAGACATTTTCTCTAGTTGCTAAGATTTCTTCTATTCGGGCACTTATGTCCATTGTTGCCAATTGTAACTGGCCGTTGTTTCAACTGGATGTTAAGAATGCCTTCTTGCATGGTGACTTAGTTGAAGAAGTTTATATGGAGAAACCACCTGGGTTTGTTGCTCAAGGGGAGTATCGTCACACTGTTTGTTGCCTTAAAAAGGTCTTGTATGGATTGAAACAATCTCCATGAGCTTGTTTTGGAAAATTCTCTGAGGTGACATTAGAATTTGGTCTTAACAGATGCCAGACCGATCATTCGGTATTTCACCAGTGCACTAAAGCTGGCTTCATTTTTCTTGTGGTGTATGTAGATGATATTGTGATCACGGGTGATGATTCTGAAGGCATTGCTAAGTTGAAGTTGTTTTTGCAAAATCGATTCCATACTAAAGACTTCAGTAAACTTAAGTATTTCTTGGGCATTGAAGTTGCTAGATCCAAGAAGGGTATAAGTTTATCTCAACGCAAATATGTGTTGGACTTATTAGAAGAAACAGGTATGTTGGGTGGTCGTCCAGTTGATACTCCTATGGATTCAAATACAAAACTTGTGTCTGATGAGGGTGATCTATTTAATGACCCGGGCAGATTTCGTCCCCTTGTTGGGAAATTAATTTATCTCACTATCAGTCGACCTGATATTTCATATGCAGTTAGTGTTGTAAGTTAGTTCATGGGAGCTCCTAGAATGCCACATTGGGTTGTTGTTCTTTGGATTATCCGATATCTCAAGTAAACTCCAGGTTTTGGGTTACTATATAAATCAAATGGTCATCTCAGGGTGGAAGGTTTTACAGATGCTGACTGAGCTGGTTCTCCTTCAGACAGGAGATCTACTACAGGCTACTGCACATTTGTAGGAGGAAATCTTGTTACATGGAAAAGTAAAAAGCAAACGGTGGTAGCTCGATCTAGTACTGAAGCTGAGTACAGGGCAATGGCCCATACCACTAGTGAGTTGACTTGGATACAACATTTTCTAAAAGAACTTGGGTTGACAGTTGAAACTCCTACTCCATTGTTCTGTGATAATCAATCAGCTATTCACATTGCATTAAATCCTGTGTTTTATGAGAGGACCAAACATATTGAAGTTGATTGTCACTTCATTCGAGAAAAAATATTAAGTGGGAGCATCTCTACTCCATTTGTGAAGTCTGAAGATCAATTAGCTGATATGTTTACCAAAGCATTGGGTCATAATCGGTTAAGGACTACTGTTCCAAGCTGGGATTATTTGATTTATACTCTCTAGCTTGAGGGGGAGTGTTAGAATATTTTGGGTCATTATATAATTGCATATTGTTGGTAGGGTCATTGTGTAATTAGCTGAGTCTTGTATCTTTATATAAGCCACTGTAGGCTTAGGGTTTTATACATATGAGATACACATTTTCTGTAGCCACCATAATCTTTCTCTCTCTCTCTCTCTCATCAGTTTGAACAAACCCTAAATTAGAAGATGAAAGATTGTATATGGTATATTCAGGAAGTTGTAAAAAGTTCTTGCTCTGTGATGGTGCTTCCAAGTACTAATCTGGGAGCAAGGAAGCAAATACTGTGCTTTCAGATTAATAGAATAAGTTAATGCTTTTAGATAGAGATTCTCTCTTTCTCTCTCTCTCTATCTATCTATCTCTATCTCTCTCTCACTACTTTACCATCATGAATACATCATCAGTGTTAGCAGTGTAGTGTCTGGTAGTTACCAACTCCATCACCAACAGCTTTTGTGCTGCTACCGTTCCATTATCACCAACATCATTCCTGCCTACCCCCCACTGTAGTAGTAATTACTTATTTCAAATCACGATCTTGCCTTCCACCACCACTATTGTTGCCTTGTCTTAGCACTAGTGTTGTCCCTGACAATGCCACTGCCATCACCACCATCTCTCCGTCAATGCTAACATCCACACTGCCTATTTTGCTGCAAGGCCAATGTTTCTTCTACCATAAACACCCACATTGCCATCATTGTTTACATCATGCCATATATGCCTCAATAATTTGATAAGGTAGTGTCATTTAGCAGAACAGTTTAACAAATTGCGCATGAATTTTGGTTTGTAGCAAAAATGGAGGGAGGATACAAAAAAAATGGAAAGGTAATAGATTGCTTCTTTTTTCTCTTCAAAACATAGTTGGAAGAAAGCCTACTTAGCATGGGAACTAAATTACCTTGTTTTCATGCTTGAAGGATTAAACCTCAACCTCTCTATTTATGCATTATTTCCTGAATTTAGTTAAGGTGCTGGTCTTGTTTAATATTTCTGTCAAGTGTTGCTACAAGTTGAGCTGAGATCTTAGAACCTATCACAACCACCATCTGCAGCCCATTTCTCTCGCTCCCTTGTTTTGAGTTTCCTTGGGTTAAAGAAGTTTCTTCTTTAGTAAGGGCAATTTATAAGTTCTCATGTGAACTAGTTTTACTTGGATTTACACTTCTTAAGAATTCATGCTACTGCTTTTCAAATTTATGTATATGTTTAATAACAATAAGTTGTTTTTATTTATTTTTAATAAAAGTTCGGACTGAAACCCAAGGATATGATAGAGAGTTGTGTAAGGCCAGTGATCTAGACCTTGGTGGGGGTGGGGGTGGGTGGGCGGGGGGTGGAAAACCCAAACGGGTAAATCCAGGGAACCAAGTGCAGGCAAACCAAATATACTATGAGAAAGAAGCTTAGAACCTAGGTTACAGTTTCCCTAAACCTTAAAAACTCCTAGTTACCTGCTTGGCACAGATTGATCCACATCTTTTGTCAGAAGTCTAGGCACATGATCCACTTGTCAGCAGACTTCACTCGACACAAATCTACTTCTCCATAGTGAATCAATGATCCAGTCTCAGCCACTAATTGTCCAATTCAATATTTGATTATGCATTGTTGAACTCTTCAGTTGTTGCACACAACAGTAAATGTTAAGTTTGTTAACACACTTGTTGTAAATAGTAAAATAGAAGTGAAGAGAAAAATCAAATAAGAACACATATATATATATTACGTGGTTCAGCCACTAGGGCCTACATCCACGGCACAAAGAGCCCAAAGGGCTACATCACTTTTATAATACTCTCTTAATTCATATACAATACAATGGTGGAAGCTCCTTTATATAGGAGAAGAAATTATGAGAATGGAAAGAATTAGAAAATAGGAAATAAGAAGGATTTTCCTTCACTGATTCCTCTAGTAACACAAAATCTTCAATAATAGGAAACAACATCAATTACTGAATGATTTTCCTCCGATGCTAAGGTAGCTAAGGGAATACTCCAAAATAGGGGTTTGAACTTAGGAAGAGAAATTTGGCTCTGATACCATGTTGTAAAGCATAAAACGGAAGCGAAGAGATAAATAAAATAAGTAGAACACACAGATTTATTACGTGGTTCAGCCACTAGGGCCTACATCCACGGCACAAAGAGCCCAAAGGGCTACATCACTTTTATAATACTCTCTTAATTCATATACAATATACAATGGTGGAAGCTCCTTTATATAGGAGAAGAAATTGTGAGAATGGAAAGAATTAGAAAATAGGAAATAAGGAGGATTTTCCTCCACTGATTCCTCTAGTAACACCAAATCTTCAATAATAGGAAACAACATCAATTACTGAAAGATTTTCCTTCACTAATTTCTCCATTAAATCTTCAATAACACTAAATCACACTCACCAATTCTAAGAAGTATGAATGCAAAATAAAAAATATGATGCAGTTCTAAACTAAAAATAATGTTCTCCTAATATGCATGAGTTGTATTAGTATGGTATATTTATAGGAAAAATAGAAGTATAGAGAGAATAAGGTTGCTATGTTTTAATAATTAAAGGAAACTGAATTTACGCACAGCTCAATCGACCGAAGAGTTTTGAATCAATCAATCAAACACCAATGGCCCTCGATCAATTAACAAAAATCCAACCAAAATTTCAGCCATTCAAATCAATAAACAAAAATCCAACCAAAATTTTCCAATTATGAACCCACAAATCTCACGATCTTCAAACTTTGATAGAATAAAAATCTACAAGACAGATTTAAAGTTCAATATATTTATAATCTTATTGTAATATATTCAATGAATCATGTGCACTAAATATGTTTAACTTAACACAAATATATATGATGTCTAATATGTTTTCAGAAACAAAAATAAAATTTATTCGAAAGTTTAAAAGTTTCATGAATTTATTTACTATATTTTTCATTATTCTTTCTTTCTTTTTCGTGACGGCTTTCACACTAGTCGGCAGCCAACTATTTTAAGATATTCATTACGTACTTTTAGTCTTGGTAGGTTCGAACATATTCCACAGGCAGCCATTTTCAAGAAAAATACGCATGTTCTTCTTCTTTTTTTTTTTTTTTCATTCTGACTGCTTCACATCACACATTTATATATATATATATATATATATTTCTTTTTCTGCTCAGCACATATCTAGAGACTTCAAACATTGAGCAAATATCTATTCAAGTTAAAGTTCATATCTTAGACATATGTACATATATATGTGTGAGTTAGTGTGCGTGTGAATGTTTCATTGTATCAACCATGATTTAAAATCTCATCATGATTTTCATAACCAAAAATAAGGCATGATAAAACTAATTCTAAATATAGACAAACTACAATAAGAATTAAATTCATCAGCATATAGTTTTAGGGTTTAAGAAATTTCTGTTTAATCAAGGATTCAAGGCTATGTTCCTTTCTCTAATTGACTTTTGACTAGTTATAGAGGATTTGTGGCATATAATTCGTTCCCATGTATTCTAGAATTTCATTTTATTTTACAAGTGAATTGGTTATGAATTTTGACTGGTTATAATGGTCTTGTGGGCATCTTATTGGTGCCCACCATTCTATTTGAACCAATGTGAGTTTCCAAGTCCTTAAAATTGTAAGATGTGCCGCTCAGCCGATTTGAACCCAAAACCAAGGGCGTGGTAAGTGCTTTATTGACCAGCGGAGCGCTCAGCAATTAGTGTTGAGATAGTAATTTGTTTTAATTTGTACAAAACTGGGATACAAATTTCTTAACTTTCTAAAACTAGTAATAATTAAAGAATAACAATGAATAAGTTATGCCAACAAGTGATATATTTATCTATAAATTATATACATGTAAGTATATATGTTTAGTAGGCACTCTGGTGGCACTATGGACCCTAGG